ACCCATTTTCGAGGAATAAATTGGAGAAAGACTCAACAGCCATTAAAATTTGCTGTACAGGCCAGGCGCGGGCTTACGCCTGTAAGCCCAGGCATGTTTGGGAGGCTGGGCGGCAGGGTATACCTGAGGCTCTTGGGAGTTTAGATCGAGCCTGGAAACATGGTGGCAACTTGTACCTCTACGTTGACAAATACAAAATTAGCAAGCCTTGATGGCGGCGCCCTGTAATCCCCCAGCCAGCTACTGGCGAGCTGAGAGCAGGCGAATCGCTGACAGCAGGAGGCGGGGTGTGGTGAGCCGGATTGTATTGCAGCATCAGCTGGGCAAGCAAGGAGCGAAGACTGTAGCCCGCTCAATAAAACAAAAAAAAAAAAAAAATTTGCTTACAACATTTGGCTAGGAATAAGCAAGGCCAGAGTTTCTGTCTCTTCTCCCTAGATCAGGCTGATAAACCCAGATCATTGCCTAGAAATTCAGTCTTCTACTTCTTGTGAAATAACAAAAAAGGAGAAATAGAAAGGAGGACTGGGCATAAGCCCCTGTGATAAGACGGGGATCCTCCAGAATGGCTCCATCCTTAGGCGAAATCTGCATCTCCACTGGCTGCAGCTACTCCCAGACTCTCCCCAGCATCTGCTCTTTTTCCCTCACCAGCTTTAGCTGCACGGGTAGGATCTTTTTCTCCATGGATTTCACCAGCAGCTTCTGTTGGACTTCACTTAGCTCTGGAGAAAAAAAGCAGAGAAAGATGTGTGTTGCTGGTGCAGAGGGGACTACAGACTCCAAATAGCGCACTTCCAGAATTTCAGCTTCATTCATTGGATGTAATTACAACACAGGTGTTAAGGGAGCCGTAGCTGAGGGGTTCACTTTGGTCTTGGAGTCAGAGGGCAGGCTTCTTAAGGGAACAAACATTTTAGCTTACACCTGAAGGACCACAGAGTTTTTCTAAGTGGAAAACTAGAAAATGTGGAGGGAAGAAGAGCTTTTAGGGGCAAGATCAGAAAATGTTACTCCCTAAAGTTAAAGCTACCAGGTATCAGGATAGAAGTGATGAGCTTAGCTATATGCAGAAATTTTAAGTATGTTGCTGATAAAGCTAGGGTTATTCAACCTCTATTAGCAAGACTAGGCTGTCTTCTTAGATCACCCATTGTGACCGAGTGAATCCTTAGGAATGAAACCAATTTTTTTTTTTTTTTTTAAATGGAGTCTCGCTCTGTTGCCCAGGCTGGAGTGCAATGGAGTGATCTTGGCTCACTGCAACCTACCCCTCCCAGGTTCAAGCGATTCTCCTGCCTTAGCCTTCGGAGTAACTGGGATTACAGGCACCTGCCACCATGCCCGGCTAATTTTTGTATTTTTGGAAAAGGTGGGGTTTCACCATGTTGGCCAGGCTGGTCTTGAACTCTTGACCTCAGGTGATCTACCTGCCTTGGCCTCCCAAAGTGCTGGAATTACAGTCATGAGCCACCATGCCCAACCATGAAACCAATTTATAAAAATGTACATATAAACTACTTAACTATGGTATAATTTGTCATTCATTCATTCATTTATTCATCCATTTGGGAATTGATTCAAGCGATTCATTCCTATTACTGAAAAGGTCTATAAATGAAGACCTTATTCCCCACTTACCTGTTAGGGCTCCAACGAAATAGAGGATGGCGCCCACGGCCTCCTTTGACAGCAGGACATCTTTTGGGAGTGCCTCCAGGGTCACTTCATGTCCCTTGTCTAGAGCCCCTTCAAGCTGTGGGGGAAGGTGGATGACTATTGAAGATAACATAGGAAAGGGCCCAACCCAAGGCCCAGCACATAATGATCCCTTGACACACGGGAACTCTCTCCCATTTCCTGATTTCTTTTTTGAGACCTCAAGTCCTGAAGAGTACTGGACTCCTGGGTTCCTTGGTCCCTAAGTTTTGGACTCTGGAAAGGGAAGGTTCCAGCCCCTCCAGCAGATGGCCCTTCTGGCCTGAGGGTTGGGGCGAGAAGGTGGGCCAGGATACATGTTGTCATCTAACCCAATAGTTAATCTTCCCGAGATCCCAGGCGTCATCTGATGTGCCTTGGGGGAACCCACTGTTTGCCCTTTTCCAGGGGACAAAGGGAGGAGCAGTGGCCTGGCAGCCTGGGGGCACGTGGCCAGCCTTGGGGAAGGTATCTAAGATGGACTCCCCTGGCCACCCACCTCCTGCCCCAGTCAGATCTCCCCACCTGCTGCAATACCCGCCCCCACCAAACCTTCACCGAAACATGCCTTCCCCCACCCTTCCCCACTTCCACTAGGTCCTCACCGCGAGCTCAAGGTCTTGAAGCTCCTTTTTCTTCCCTAGAAGTTTGCTGAGGGAGCTGAGCAGGGAGCTTTGCCCTGCTTGGCTCAGCCTCTCCACTTGTTGGGTCTCCCTCTGAACTTCTTCTTTTAGTGTCCCGAAGCCTTCGTGTACGTCCCCTGTGGGGTCAATAATGGGACACACAGCCCTCCATCGGGCACCTTCCCCTCTAATCAGCATCCCCCTGCAGGGCTCCTACACTCAGCCCCTTTAGGTACCCATGCTGTGCCCCCCAGTTTGAGCCTGGCCCCATTTTTCTTTACCAAGGAATGCAGTGACAGAACTATCCACCAAAACCCTAACCTGAGGGTTGGGGCGAGAAGGTGGGCCAGGATACATGTCATCTAACCCAACAGTTAATCTTCCCGAGATCCCAGGCGTCATCCCCTATCAGTACACCCTTGACTTTTCTTTGAGACTCCAGCAAAAAGTGGAGAAAGAAGGTCTGTTTTCCCTTCTCATGAGTTAGTTGACAAAGAAGAATGCCTTTGCCTTCTCCTTTCTCTACCCTACTGCTACCTCCGTGCCAAAGTCTTCGGAGAAACTCACAAAGTTCCTTACCAACATCAGATGCCTGGATAACTGAGGGAAAAAAAAAAAAAAAGATAAGAATGCAATCCTTCAGAATGGCAGCCATACCCAGGGGATGAGACACTAAGGAAGATGAGGAAATACATCCTGCCTGTCTCCTGGGGAGAGCCCAGCTACCTTGTTCCTGGTGTTACTGTGACTCAATGGCTCTGGCCCCAGTTGCTGGGCGGCTGAGTTGCAGATGTGTGTGTAGCAGGTTATAGCTACTAAGACTCTTAAATTTTTTTTTTTTTTTTTTTTTTGAGACGGAGTCTCGCTCTGTCACCCAGGCTGGAGTGCAGTGGCGCGATCTCGGCTCACTGCAAGCTCCGCCTCCCGGGTTTACGCCATTCTCCTGCCTCAGCCTCCCAAGTAGCTGGGACTACAGGCGCCCGCCACCTCACCCGGCTAGTTTTTTGTATATTTTAGTAGAGACGGGGTTTCACCGTGTTAGCCAGGATGGCCTCGATCTCCTGCCCTCATGATCCGCCCGTCTCGGCCTCCCAAAGTGCTGGGATTACAGGCTTGAGCCACCGCGCCCGGCCAATTTTTTTTTTTTTTTTTTTTTTTTCTTTTTTTGTTAGGCCAGGCGCAGTGGCTGACACCTGTAATCCCAGCACTGTGGGAGACCAAGGCGGGAGGATCACCTGAGGTCAGGAGTTTGAGACCAGCCTGGGCAACATGGTGAAATCCCATCTATACTAAAAATTAGCCAAACGTGGTGGCCCGTGCCTGTTATCCTAGCAACTTGGGAGGCTGAAGCACGAGAATTTCTTGAACCCCGGAGGCGGAGGTTGCAGTGAGCTGAGATCTCACCATTGCACTCCAGTCTGCACAACAGAATGAGACTCTGTCTCAAGAAAAGAAAAAAGAAAAAAGGCCAGGCACCATGGCTCACACCTGTAATCCCAGCCCTTTGGGAGGCTGAGGTGGGTGGATCACCTGAGGTCAGGAGTTCGAGACCTGCCTGGCCAACATAGTGAAACCCTGTCTCTACTAAAAATAAAAAAAATTAGCAGGCCATGGTGGCGGGTGCCTGTAATCTTAGCTACTCAGGAGGCTGAGGCAGGAGAATCACTTGAACCGGGGAGGTGGAGGTTGCAGTGGGCTGAGACTGCGCCACTACATTCCAGCCTGGGCAACAAGAGTGAAACTCCATCTCAAAAAAAAAAAAAAAATTTTTTTTTTTAATAAGAGACAGTGTCTCACTATGTTGCCCAGACTGGTCTCGAACTCCTGAGCTCAAGGGATCCTCCTGCCTCAGCCTCCCAAAGTGCTGGGATTATAGGCGTGAGTCACTGTACCTGGCTGCTACTAAGGCTCTTGAGGACAAAGGTCTCAGGCATCAGACCACCTGGGCATCTTGTCCAAAGACTCCCTCTTTCCACTGCTTTTTCCCAAGCTATTGGAATTTCTACCATGTTTTGGGGACAATTGTTTGCTAAGACTCACTCTGCCATTTCCCTGTCAGTCCCGTGAGAAGGAAAGAAAAAGACTGGAGTTTTAGAATTCTGAGTCAAGAAAGTTTCAGTGGAATGAAAGGAAACACTTACGGATGACCTTCTCCTCTCCTGACTTTTCTGAAGACAAAAAATGCACATCTGTCAGCACAAAACCCATTTTTGCCTTTTCATCTAAAACAGTCTTCAAGGCAGTTTCATCAGTGATCATTATGAAAACACGGAGATTATGCTAGCTCATCCACCCCCACGACTCGGGAACACACTCTGTCTCCAAGTCTTACTTCTGCTTCTGACTGTGCCTTCCGGTCTCTGTCGGTTTCTGTATGTCTCTGGGACAGTATATATACGCCTCTATCTGTCTTTCCTAAAGTTGAGGCTAGGTATTCTTAGGGACTTGGGAAACAAAAGCAGAGGCTCCTTGGGGGATTATAGTATAAGCTAGGAGAAGGTGGAGGATTTTAGCAGATAATGTCAGGGGTGGGGCGGAAGATGTGGGAAACCCGTAAGCAATTTCACTTACCTCCAGGAGGGAAGGTTTGCATGTTATCATTGCAGATATGTGGAATATCTGTGAAGGGCAAGGGAGGCAGGGCAGGAGGGCTCTTAGCAGCTGCCCCACGTTCCCTTCTTCAGTCTCAAGTCAAAGGGCTCTGCTAAGGGCTACGACTTTGCACCCCAAGTGCTTCATCTAATTCCCTGCTTCAGCCTCCATTGCTGGAAGCAATCTTTTCTTCCTTGATAAATTCTATACTATGAGAACACCACTTTCTACCTTCCATTCCAGTCTCTGTCTGTTTCCTCCTTTGGCCACAGACTTCTTGTTCATCTTTGTACCCCCTCCCCCAATGACCACAATGCCCAGCACCCGGAAGATGCTCAGAATCCAGGAGCCTCTTCACCCTTCTCTCCAGAGCAGCCTCCATGGCTGCAGTTGGATCACAGTGCAATACACCTCCCTGCTCATGCTCTGACACTGCCACAAGAGGAGACCAGGGTGCCTCAGTATTGGTGCCCGTAATTCTCATCCTGTGGGGAGAACATGCGGGTCTCTGCTCACCCCACTCATCTTTGCCTTTGACCATCAGCTGTCTCACTCGAAAGGCCAGGACGCAGCCTTTGGGGATGGCTATAGCCTCCTTGTGGTTTATGGATCCCTAGAATTAGACAATGAGAATTTGTGAATCTCTGGACATCTTAAGTATGAGATATTGGGAGTGCGAGTTGGGGGAGGTACAGGGTCAGGGCTGAGAGCCTTCAGGGAGATAAGAAGTTGGAAGCCTTCAGTGGTGTCCCTGGTCTGGACTCTGAGGAAGGACTTCAAAGTCCTTGCGCTCATTTCTGCTGATGTTCCCTCCAGTGACCTGTATCTGTCTTCCTGGTTCAGATGCATGAAGGGAACCGGGCAGACCTGCTCCATCTCCTGCCTATACATCACCCTAGAGCTTCCGTCCAAACCCTGGCTCCTTCCTTCTCTTCGCCATCTGTCCCATGCTTACCTCTTTCAGGACGCCTTCCATGACTAACCCCTACTCCTGGCTCCACATCCCAAATCATCCCTTGAATATTTAGATGCAATAGATAGAGGTATGGAGAGCATTCCTTATTTCCATTGGCTTTTCCAAGCGTGTGTTCTCTGGGCTTTAGCCTCTGTGTCTCCTGTATAAACCTGAGGACTTTCTGAGAGTAAGGATGTCTCCTCTTTGGATTGGGAGCACCATGAGGGAAAACCCATGAATGTGACTTTCCCCTTCCCCAGTAGTTCCCTGTGGCATCTGGCGCAGGGATCTGCCCTCACTGGGTGCCACTGACCAGGGAGGGGGCCTGTGTCTGGGGTTCGGATCTTGAAGAGCTAGGGGAAGGAGTGGCCCTTTTCAGCATCCTGGGTTGGCACTGATCCAGCAAAGCTAATGAAGCCTCCAGGGAGGGGCTGAATGTAAATGTGTATGTGTGAGTGTGAGTGTGGGTGTGAGAGTGTGTGTGTGTCTCTGAATCAAACCTGTAGCCCCAGCGGGGCGAAGAAGGGGAGGGAGAAGCAGGCCTCTGCCTTGCCGGCTCGCTCCAGTGTGACCTCCCGCACCGTCTCCACCACCTCCATCACCACATATAGGTTCTCCCCTTGATCTTGCATCTCCTTCAGGAATGGGTGATCCGCTGCCAGCTTCCTGTGACAGGAGAAACATAAGGAAACCATTCAGAGCTCCTTCCTGCCTGTGCCACACCCTCCTCGTTCCTTCTGTCATTCCCAGGAGCTAGACATTGTGGGTGGCAGGGAAGGAGCAAGGACTTTGGACTAGGGCTGAGGTTGAAACCCAGATCTCTTGCTTACTGGCAGGGCAGCTTCTCTGAGTCTTAGTTGCCTCATCTATGAAATGAATGTAACGATGCTGACCTCCTGGGTTGCTCAGAGATAAACTCGGTAATTATCTGGGCCAGCACCTGGCCGGTAACAGGGCCTCTCAGGTGCTTCTTACTCCCTTTTCCTCCAGTTCAGGGGTAGATGCGCTCCCCTTTCCTCCCCACTCATCTCTCTGGGATCCTTTCTCTCCACGTCTTATGCTCTCTCGCTGTTGACACCAGTTCCTCCTCTCCACTTGCTCCTTCTGTCTGCTTCCATATATAAATGTGTCCCTTATCCTAAAAAATTTGTTTGCTTTGATCATGCTACTCCCTCAAATTACTACCCTATTTTTTTCCTTCATTTCATTGGCAAATATATCAAAAGATATGCTCACCTCCAGTGTCCACTTCCTGCCCACTCCTAAATTCTTTTTTTTTTGAAACGGAGTCTTATTCACTCTGTCACCCGAGCTGGAGTGCAGTGGCGTGATCTTGGCTCACTGCAACCTCTGCCTCCTGGGTTCAAGCGATTCTCCTGCCTCAGCCTCCCAAATAGCTGAGAATACAGATGTGAGCCCCTGTGCCTGGTCTGTCTAAATTCTTTATAATTTGCCTTTTATTTCCACTACTCAGCTGAAATTACAATGATCTCTTTTTTTTTTTTTTTTTTTTGAGACGGAGTCTCGCTCTGCCGCCCAGGCTGGAGTGCAGTGGCCGGATCTCAGCTCACTGCAAGCTCCGCCTCCCGGGTTCACGCCATTCTCCTGCCTCAGCCTCCCGAGTAGCTGGGACTACAGGCGCCCGCCACCTCACCCGGCTAGTTTTTTGTATTTTTTTTAGTAGAGACGGGGTTTCACCGTGTTACCCAGGATGGTCTCGATCTCCTGACCTCGTGATCCGCCCGTCTCGGCCTCCCAAAGTGCTGGGATTACAGGCTTGAGCCACCGCGCCCGGCCCACAATGATCTCTTACCTCTCAGTCCCAACGACCTCGCCTAACTCTGTGCAATACTCGATCCTGCTGTCGAAACCCTCCGTGCAACGCTGGCTTCTCTTGGCTTCCAGTCACACTGTACCACCCTGGCTCAAATCCCATGCTTCTAGTTTCTAAATCTTATCCATTCTGTCTGCACCTCATTTTCCAGTTTCTTTGGTTCTCTAACATTTTATGTTCTGTAAGATTCTGTTCTCAGTCCTGTTTTCTCAACTCCCTCCAAAAACTCCCCCCACCCAACTCACTCCTACAGTTTTTTCTTTTTTCTTTTTTTTTTTTTAAGGTCTGACTCTGTTGCCCAGGCTGAAGTGCAGTGGCTCGATCATAACTCACTGCAGCCTTGAGCTCTTGGGCTTAAGCGATCCTCTTGCCTCAACCTCCTGAGTAACTGCAACTCTAGGCGCACCACTGTGCCCTGCTAATATTTGCATTTTTTGTAGAGAAGGGGGTTTCACTATCTTGCCCAGGCTGGTTTGAACTCCTGGGCTCAAGCAATCCTGCCTTGGCTTCCCAAAGTGCTGGGCTTACAGGAGTGAGACTCCTCCCCTGGCTCCTACAGTTGTAATCTTCATATTCCTGATTACCTTGTGTATATCTTCACTTTGACCTCTCTCCTGAACTCCAGGCCCTTATTTCCAACCACCTGTTAAACATTCTCAGCTGATGTCTCAGCAGAACCAGAAACTCAAAACATACAAAAGGAACTCACAATCTCCAAATCTACCTCTAACCTCTGTCTTCCTGTTTGTCACCTATAATGGTACCTTTAATGTCCTATAATGTCACAACCTGGGTAAAATCTCACAGTCACCTTTGACAAAACCGTTTCCCTCATCCTGCAATCAGTTACCAAGCCCAGGCCATTCTATTATCCTTGGCAATGGGCCGTGCATCCATTCCTCCCTCTTCACTCCTATTGCCCTGAGCTCGGGTCCTCAGTTTACATCGCTCATGGGATAGAAGAACAGTGCCTTGGCTGGGCGCAGTGGCTCATGCCTGTAATCCCAGCACTTTGGGAGGCCGAGGTGGGCAGATCACCTGAGGTCATGAGTTCGAGACCAGCCTGGCCAACATGGTGAAACCCCATCTCTTCCAAAAATATGAAAATTAGCTGGGTGTGGTGGTGTGCACCTGCAATCCCAGCTACACGGGAGGCTGAGGCAGGATGATTGCTTGAACCTGGGAGGCGGGGGTTGCAGTGACTGGGTATTGGGTCACTGCACTCCAGCCTGTGCGACAGAGACTCCGTCTCAAAAAAAAAAAGGATGGGCGCGCGGTGGCTCACACCTGTAATCCCAGCACTTTGGGAGGCCAAGGCAGGCAGATCACGTGAGGTCAGGAGTTTGAGACCAGCCTGACTAACATGGTGAAACCCCGTATCTACTAAAAATACAAAAATTAGCCAGGCGCAGTGGCTCACACCTGTAATCCCAGCACTTTGGGAGGCCGAGGCAGGCGGATCACAAAGTCAGGGGTTCGAGATCAGCCTGGCCAATATGGTGAAACCCCATCTCTACTAAAAATATAAAAAATTAGCCGGGCATGGTGGCAGGCACCTGTAGTCCCAGCTACTTGGGAGGCTGAGGCAGGATAATCGCTTGAACCCGGGAGGTGGAGGTTGCAGCGAGCTGAGATTGTGCCACTGCACTCCAGCCTGGGCGACAGAGCGAAACTCGGTCTCAAAAATAAAAAATAAAAAATAAAAACATAAAAACATTAGCTGGGTGTAGTGGCGGGTACCTGTAGTCCCAGCTACTCGTGAGGCTGAGGCAGGAGAATTGCTTGAACCCAGGAGGCGGAGGTTGCAGTGAGCCAAGATTGCACCACTGCAGTCAAGCTCGGGCAAAAAGAGCGAAAAACCGTTTCAAACAAAAACAAGAAGAAAACTGTCTTGCCTTGTCTGACTGCTTCAAATCCCTGTTCTCCTTCCCCTATCTGACACACTTCCTCCGTTCGGCTGGATTAGTCATGGGACACATCAGAGCATTTTCAGGATCTTCCTGGTGCCTACAATTCAGTCTCCTGGAGCTGTCACTTGCCTCTCCGGGGTTTGGGTTCACCTGCATTTCCTGCTCGTTCTGCTCACACCTCTTCTGCCCCTGCCATGCTGGCTGTTCCTGGCCCCTGGTGGCTTTGAGATTGCTTACCTGTGTGCCTTCATAATACCCTTCTCCCAGCCCTGCAGGCCCAATTTCTACTCATCTTTCAAGGCCCAGAACAGAGGCTGCCATGGCTGTGAGATCTTCCCTTATTTTCCCAGCCAGAAGTCCCTTTGACCTGCCACAAGACTCAGTCGAACCATCCCTACAGCACTTAGCAGTTCTTGGCTTTGATTATAATTACTGTTGCACAGGTTTTTAAAATTTTCACCTTCCTAGACTGCAAGGTTCTTGGACAAAGATGTTTTAGGCTCACCCCAGCCCATAGCAGAGTGCTTTACTATATACATGCTTGCTGGATGACTACCCTGGCCCTTCCTTCTGGCCTTCCCAGTCCTTACCTCCTTCTTTCAACCACTACTTAACTACTTAAAAGTCAGTTCCCGTGTCAAGCCAAACATCCATGGAGCCCAGCATCCATGTGGCGCCTGCCACACCCTTTGTGCCGTGGGGCAGCATTCCCGAGGGCATGCGGAGTGTGTATTGGGGTCAGGCGGGAGGCTTCATTTACGGGAGCAGAACACAGTGCTCTGCTCAGGCCTCAGCTGTGGGCAGTTAAGACCCATCCCTCCTTTTTCTAGTGTATTGCATAGTCTCAGAGTTAGAAGGAGCCTTAGAGATGATCATCCAATCCTGTCATTTTGCAGAAAAGAAAACTGAAATCCCAAGAGAAGCGACTTTTCCAAGATCACACAGCAAGCTGGTGTGGACATCATCCTCCCTGTGCATGTGTGACAGTGGGGAGCTGGTCCTGGAGATGGTGGCAGCACTGGGAGGTGTGACTAGGAAATGGCCTGGATGCAGCCATAGGCCAGAAGGGTTGCCTTCAAGAGCTCCCCTGTGGTGACCACATTGGCAAAGGTCAGTGCAAGGGTCCTATCTTTCAACTTGTGTTTTTAACTTGAGGCCCTAAGCACCGTTTCCATGCACTGCCCCACCCACATCCCGGGCAACCCTTGGTCCTGCCCGCTCTCACCTCTCCTGCAAGGTCTCCAGGGCCTTGGGAGCCACACTGAGTGTCTGGACCTCCAGGGTGCTGTTCTGCGAGAGCCCTGCTGTTCCCTTCACCTTCACCGTCTTTGGTACATCCACATCTCCCTCCACTCGGGTATCCAGCATGTTCTTAAAGCCAAAATTCCCAGCATCTGTTGGATCTGCAGGAGGGAAAAGATGAAAGGGGCTGGGCTGGCTGGGCGTAGTAACTCACGCCTGTAATCCCAGCATTTTGGGAGGCCAAGGTGGAAGGATTGTTTGAGCCCAGAAGTTTGAAACCAGCCTGGGGAACAAAATAAGACCCCGTCTCTACAAGACAAGTGAGTAAATAAAGAAAAGAGGCTGAGCTGAGAGGTATCACCCAACCCCCAGCCTCCTCAGCTCCTGACGATGACTTTGGGCTAGATGATATCTAATCACCTCTGGCCAGAGGGAGCTCTGAGGTTCTCCTTGCAGGCCAGGTGCCCAGCCCCCATCCCTCAGTATCCCTCAGTTCCCAGCCCTGCTCAAGGCTGACCTGAAGGTGAGCTGCCCGGCTCAAGCACATCCAGCAGTGTGTAGTCGGTGCGGACGTACCGGGCCCCCCAGAAGAGCGTGCTCTTCCTCTTCCTCAGCACCAGGCAGAAGGGATGGAAGCGCTTGAAGTCGATGAGGCTGTCAAGAGGTGTCAGGTCCCCTCGAGGGTTTAGCTGTCTGACCAGGGCCCGGGTGACATTTTCAAACATGGTCATGGTCTCTGTGGAGATGGGGAGACAGGAGAGTGTCAAGGTGGTTGCCGAGGAGCCCGGGATATGGGCTGGGCCCCTGCAGAGAGGGTTCGCCCGACTCTGGGGCAGGGAGAGCTCTTAGAGATGCCTGGATTGTCTCATGTCACAGCTGGAAAGAACCAACGAAGTCTGCATTTTATGATGAGGAACCTAGTTAAAGAGTTGCCCCAAAGTCCCATAGATGGTCAGCAAAGCCTCACCTCCCTTTTCCTTGTCAAGTTCCTTTTTCTCTCTCCACACTCATTTTCTTCACTGCCACTGAGCCCAACTGGACTGACTGACTTTCTTTCTTTCTTTCTTTCTTTCTTTCTTTCTTTCTTTCTTTCTTTCTTTCTTTCTTTCTTTCTTTCTTTCTTTCTTTCTTTCTTTCTTTCTTTCTTTCTTTCTTTCTTTCTTTCTCTCTCTTTCTCTCTCTCTTTCTTTCTTCTTTTCTTCCTTCCTTCCTTCCTCTTTCCTCCCTTCCTTCCTCCCTCCCTTCCTTCCTTCCTGTCTTTCCTTCCGTTCTTCCTTCCTTCCTCTTTTTCCTTCCTTCCTCTTCTTCTCCTTCCTTCCTTCCTCTCCTTCCTGTCCTTCCTTCCTTCCTCTCTTTCCTTCCTTCCTTCCTCTCTTTCCTCTTTCCTTCCTTCCTCTCCTTCCTTCCTTCCTTCCTTCTTTCCCTTCCTTCCTTCCCTCCACCTCGCCTCGCCTTGCCTCGCTTCGCTTTCTTCTCTTTTCTTCCGAGACAGGGTCTTACTCTGTTGCCCAGGCTGGAGTGCAGTGGCATGATTACAGCTCACTGCAGCCTTGACCGCCAAGGCTTGATTGAACCTCCCACTTCAGCCTCCTGAGTAGCTGGGACTGTAGTCATGCACTTGGCTAATTTTTAAATCTTTTTGTAGAGACAGAGTCTCACTATGTTTCCCAGGCTGGTCTCAAACTCCTGGCTCAAGTAATCCTCCCACCCCAGACTCCCGAAGTGCTGGGATTACAGGTGTGAGCCACTGCGCCTGGTCTAGAGCATTTATTTAGCAATGGAAGTAAAGCTTTCTCTCACACCAGAGACTAGCAATAGCCAGGGTCTGAGGACACCAGGGGAGGGAAGGAGATGCTGCTGGCACCAAGGGCTGGGGTGGTCAAGCTGTTCACCTGCCCCAGTCACCCTTTCCGTGTCTGGGGTACACTTCCCTGCACCCTATTCTTCCCTTGTGCGTGCCTCCCAGCTCACAGGTGTCAGTAGACCCACTCCCCTCTCACAGCCCCTGGGGGATGCCTGGATCCAGACTTTTGTTTTTTCTTTTTGAGATGGAGTCTTACTCTGTTGCTCAGGGTGGAGTGCAGTGGTGCCATCTCAGCTCCCTGCAATCTCTACCTCTCGGATTCAAGCGATTCTCCTGCCTAAGCCTCATGAGTAGCTGGGACTACAGGTGTGTGCCACCACACCTGGCAAATTTTTGTATTTTTAATGGAGACAGGGTTTCACCATGTTGGCCAGGCTGGTTTCGAACTCCTGACCTCAGGTGATCCGCCCTCCTTGACCTCCCGAAGTGCTGGGATTACAGGTGTGAGCCTTTGTGCCCAGCCAGGATCCAGGCATCTTGATGCGCCTCACCTTTGCCCCCTCTGCTTACAATACCCCTTTGAGATCTGAAGACTCCCTAGTCCTCTTCTAACACTCAATTCAGGTCACCTACTGGGACCTTGTCCCTCAGTCCTCCAGGCAGCTGGTGACTGTATCTGTGTTTCCAAAGCGCTCTTCTGATGCACCTTCCTGTTATGATCTGCTCACCTGACCGTCTCAGCTCCTCGTCTGTGACTTCCCAGAGGGCAGGAAATGGGTCTTAGTCACCTCTGCAGCAGCAAGTACCACACCTGGCACAGAGTTGGAGCTTGGCAAATGTGTGTGGAAAGAACCAATGAATGTGGCCCCGAGAGATGTGCGCTAGGGTGAGAGGGCCCTGGATAATGTGGGGCCCATGGGAACCTGAGAGGCAACATCTTTTTTTTTTTTTTTTTTGACATGGAGCTTCATTCTTGTTGCCCAGGCTGGAGTGCAATGGCACGATCTCAGCTCACTGCCACCTCCACCTGCTGGGTTCAAGTGATTCTCCTGCCTCAGCCTCCCAAGTAGCTGGGATTACAGACGCCTGCCACCGTGCCCAGCTGATTTTTGTATTTTTAGTAGAGACGGTGTTTTCCCATTTTGGCCAGGCTGGTCTTAAACTCCTGACCTCAGGTGATCCACCCACCTCACCCTCCCAAAGTGCTGGGACTACAGACATGAGCCACCACGCCTGACCTGAGGGTCAACATCTTAAGTCTCTGTCTTTGAAGTTTGAGTCCAGGTGCTCTGGCTGGGTGGCCAATCGGCACACCCCAGTTATCCCCGTGGGTGGAAGAGGCCACAGCAGCTAGCGTGGAAGCACCCCACATCCACCACGGGCACTTCACAGCGGCAGGGGGCAGGAAGCACGGCACAGATGTGTAGGGCTGTTCTACCAGACAACCTCCTGGTGCCACCTGGGTGCACCTGGGAAGGGCTTGGGCAACGGCAGCCTCCTCTTCACTGGAGAGATGCCCACAGGCCTGCCTCTCCCTTCCCTCCCCTAGGCCTATCGGGATACTTATCCCACTGGACTCTAGGGGAGTTCCATGCCCTTCTTGGTCTACCCATCTCCCTGTGTCCCCAGAGCACCCCTGCCTTCCCTGCTGTCATCAAGTTCTTACCTGGGAGCGGGGCTCAGTCCTGTCCAGCAGCTGGGTCTGGGGTGAGGGCCTGGGGCTCGCTGGGTCTGTAGGTTGAGAGGATGACCGTCCCTTGCCAGGACAGCCTGCTTTATGCAGGGACAGAGGCTTCCAGGGACCCCGCCTGCCCTAGTGACCCCACCCCCCTCCCGCTCCACTTCCCGGAGAACAGCATCAACCTGTTCCACGTGTGCCCTGGCCTCCTGAGGGCTGAGGGGGTGGATAGGGAGCTGCCAGGCAGGTGCCAGCGTGGGTGGGGGTAGCCAAGGCTGATAGAGAGGTGGCAGCTGGAGGATGGCTTGTGGACTGAGAGGAGAGGAAGGCAGGTGCCTTTGGAAGGAGTGCAGAGGGAGGCAGTGGGAGTGTGTGTGTGTGTGTGTGTATGTGTGTGAGTGACCAGGGATGGCATCTCTGTTCTGTCATCATCACCGTCATTGGGGAGCATCTCGGAATCATGGAGGGGTCTGCGGGTGTCCTGGGATAGGGAGTCCTGTATGTCCACACATTCCAGCAGAGAGCAGAGCGTCTGCAGCACTGCCCTCCGTCCTGGGCTTGTCAGCCTGTGTGCATCGCTGCCTAACTCCATTTGTTTTAGCCACATAGACATATCTCTGATACCGCTAGAAGCAGATGTCTGAGTAGGCAGAGATGGAGTTAGACCAAATGGGTTTCTGTTATTTGGTGTTCAGCGTTTCTGCTCCTCACGGAATATTGTAGACACACATAAGCACATCGGTAGGCAGGGGCACAGCTATATTCGTAGAAAAGCCCAGGAGGCTTGTCATGGGCTTTCAGATGTCACACCGAGGTCACTCAGGTCCTCCTCTTAGCTTAAATCTCTGCCTAGAAGGAATTTTAAAGGAATTCCAAATTTTGCCCACGTGGTCACATTGCTAGAGGACAGAATAAGGGACTTACAAGCAAGGCCCGTATAGTGTTGGGCTATGTGACCATGCATGCATGTGTGCAGGTATCACCTGACACAGCTGAGCCTGCCTGCTCCCACCCTGAGGCTCTTCTCGGTACCACTCATCGAAAAAGAAACACAACCCTGAACGCTGTGAAGAGTAAATCCATGTGTTTTTTTTGTTTTTTTTTTTTTTTAGAAGGAATCTTGCTCTGTCCTCCAGGCTGGAGTGCAGTGGCGTGATCTCAGCTCACTGCAACCTCCACCTCCCGGGTTCAAGCAATTCTCTGCCTCAGCCTCCCGAGTAGCTGGGATTACAGGCGTGTGCCACCATGCCTGGCTAATTTTGTATTTTTAGTAGAGACAGAGTTTCACCGTGTTGGCCAGGAGGGTCTCGATCTCCTGACCTTGTGATCCGCCCACCTCAGCCTCCCAAAGGGCTGGAATTACAGGATGAGCCACTGTGCCAGGCCAATTCCATCTTTACTGAAGGTTTCCTTGAGGGGCTGATGGTAAATGAGACTAGACCATTCCACACTCAGGAAAACTCCCTAGAAAACATCATCATTCCACTTGTGTCCCCAAAGTCTCATTCAATATGACAGATGCTCCCAAATATCTCTTCTCTGTGTCTTGAAACAGAACAAAGCTAAGTCTTGCCCCTGCCTCTCTGGTCCGTGCTCACTCTGTTTTTCTTTACATCCCTTCCCATCCACCCTATGCCTTTTTGAGACAGGGCCTCGCTCTGTCACCCAGGCGGGAGTGCAGTGGCTCAATCACGGCTTACTGCAGCCACCCAATACTTCATCCTCCTTCCACAGCTCCAGCCATTCTGGCAATCAAACGTCCCTTCTCCTTAGGAGAGGCAGAGGTCGGGGCTTGAGTGTGTGGGAAGGTTGTCATTAGGCCGCGTGCGATGGCTCACGGCTGTAATTCCAGCACTTTGGGAGGCCGAAGTGGGTGGATCACCTGAGGTCAGGAGTTAGAGACCAGCCTGGCCAACATGGGGGAAACACCATCTCTACCCAAACTACAAAAATTAGCTGGGCGTGGTGGCAGGCGCCTGTAATCCCAGCTACTTGGGAGACTGAGGCAGGAGAATCGCTTGAACCCGGGAGGTGGAGGTTGCAGTGAGCCGAGATCGCACCACTGCATGCCAGGCTGGGCGACAGAGCAAGACTCTGTCTCAAAAAAAAAAAAAAAAAAAGAAGGTTGTCGTTAGTCATCTGGTCCCTATCACAAGCACATATTTAAATAGAAACCTGTTGTATGTATTATAGTCTTTTCATCTCTGTCTGTTTTCCTGGTTCTTCCTGGATTTCCACCTCTTCCTCCCTGTAACTCCCACTACAGTGACGTGATGCCTGCATGTCAGCATATAGTCCTGAGGCTGTGCAGTCTCCTATGCTTTAATCAGCTCCAGGGAAGGTGGTCCCACTCCCACCCTCTCACCAGCATAGCATTGCCTCAGTCAGACTTTTGGGAGTTTCTTCCCAGTGACTACCCTTCTCCCACTGGCTGCAGGCCAAGGTTCCTAGTCTAGTGGATTCTGCAAAGATCTGGAGAACAGTGGCAT